TTTTTTTTTGTGTGTATAAAGTTAAAATTATTTTTCATGACTTTCTATTAATTTTTTAGCGATTTTTGTGAAATTACCAGAAATTGTCCAGGCTTTTTTCAGCTTTTTCAGTTATTTTTAAATTCTCTTGTGTTGTTTTTTTTTCTTTTTTTTGTACAAATTTTGCTAGATTTGCTTTCCTGGAGATTTCTCTGGATTTTTTAGATATACAAAAAATATTTCCTAACTTTTTTCAATTTTTTCATATTGGGATTTTAAACGAGATTGAGATTTTCAAGGATTTACAAATCCTAATTTTTTTTTGTGTGTATAAAGTTAAAATTATTTTTCATGACTTTCTATTAATTTTTTAGCGATTTTTGTGAAATTACCAGAAATTGTGTAGGACTTTTTCAGTGATTTTAAGTTTTCTTCTGTTGTTTTTTCTTTTTTGCACAAATTTTGTTAGATTTGCTTTCCTTGGAGATTTCTCTGGATTTTATAGATGTACAAAAAATGTTTGCTAACTTTTTTCAATTTTTTCATATTGGGATTGAGATTTTCAAGGATTTACAAATGCTGAAAATTTTTATTTCATGTTTTTAAAATTGCTCTACGATCAGCTTTGAGGAGTCACGTCTTGATCTGTCTTCTTCTTTAGTTAAAGATAAAAATTTTATATTTTTTGGATATTTTTAAAAATATTTGAGGATTTTTAGGGATTTTCAAGGATTTATTAGGTAATTGTTGGTGTTGTATGAAGTTGAAATAATTTCTTTATATGATTTCCTATGAATTTTAGTGTTCATTTTGAAATTACCAGAAATTGTGTGGAAATCCTACTTTTTTTAAAGTTTTTTCTATAAACTTTTCTAGATTTGAAATAGTTATTTCGTGCTTTTTTGGTGGATTTCTCTGGATTTTAGAAACATTCTCTAAGATCTACAAAAATAATTGCTAACTTTTTACAATTCTTTCATGGGATTTTAGGATCTTTTGTTTGTTTTCATGATTTTTGTTGCTGATTTTTGCTGAGTATTTTTATCAAAAATTTATTTTTTTGAGATTGTGGATTGTCATTGAGTTTCCAATTTCTTGTCATACTTTTTCAACTTTTGTACGAAATCTATTAAAAAAATTTTTGTTTTTTATGTTATAACGATTTTTGAGCTTTAAAATTTCAAAAACATTTTTTTTCTAATTTTTCTCCATGTATCAAGATTTCTAAAAATTGCTAAGGATTAGTCAAAAATCAAAGCTTTTTTGAAAGTTTGAATGTCATGGATAATTTTACATTTTTGTTTGTTCTTGAATAATCTTAATGTTTACACCAGATTTCCATTTGTTTTAATGAGAACATAATTATAATAACTATGTAATAATTAAAATACGACTTTCATGTGACTTTTTATTATCCCAGCGTAATCTAACAATTCACATTTTTACAACTTCATTGTATAACAATATAAATAAAACAGAGATGTTATTGAGAGAGTAATTAAACCTCAGTTCTTAATGGATTTTTTATTTAACTCCAGCTTTGTATTTAATCAATAAGAATCTAAAAAATTCTGCACGATGTTCATTCGTGCCACTAAATCTTGTTCGATCTTTGACCTCTTAGAGCAGAGTACAAAAGGTGCAGTTTGAAGTCACAGAAACCTCAAAATTTTGTTTTTTTTTAAACTTTAATGCAGTTTTCGTGTGCCTTTCTGTCATTATCACCGGATTTATGGCACCACTTAGAATTATCTTCACCACGATAATACTTAAAAAGTGATTATTTCGAATCGAGTGACAATTTATTTTCAAAACTGTGCTTTACACAGTTTTGCTTTCTTTACTAATCAATTACAAGAGATGCCAAGGAAAGAAGTGTAATTGAAATATTGTCACGCTCCATTGTCCTCATCTTGCGCCAAAATCATAACTTTTTCACCTCTTCTTACTTTCAACTTTCACAAAGTGCATTATTTCCGATTTAATGAACACATGAAGACCGCTAATCCTATTAATGCATCGACATTACCGGCGATTTAACAAGCTTCAATGTTTTTAGGTTGAAATCCTCGTTTGCGAAATAAGAACACAATTTCAATATTGGATACCGTAAGGTCAGCCAATTTCCTCCTCGAGTATTTCTTCACGAAGATAACTGTTCAAGATTTTTCAAACGCGTCAAAGTTGGCGGGGTTTTTGCACGCCCAAGCCCAAAAACCAGATTACTTGTATTACCGGTAGGAAATGTCAAGGTGGACAATTATTTCGATTCAAATTCAAACAACGAGATGACGATTTTTTAACTAAATTAACGTAAACCTTGATTGACGGTTCTAGGTCTTAGCACTTATTCAATGCATTTTAATTAAATCTTAATCTTGATGGTTTTGTAACCATAATTTCATGAAGATTACACCTATTTAACCCTAATCTTCAACCAGATTTTATTAGATTCAAGCAATTGCACAATCGTTAGAGAATTTAATAATTTTGTTAATTATTTTTCTTACAAGTTGCACAAGTTGTGGTTCTGTGCCAGAAATATTAAAAAAAGGCTTGCAGTTGCAGCCAGAACCAGACGCCAAAAATAAAACCAGAAGTTTAATTAAGATAGCAGACTAAAAAGTAGCTAATTTATATATTTATTGATACATTTAGCAGTTGTTAGTAATTTATTTATAGTTTTTATGAGTAACATCTTATCACTAACATATTTATGGTCGTATTTATCTGTTTTTTATTTACAGGTGAAGTGTATATTATGTGGGTGATAGCAAGAGTGGCATCTGCGACATAAACATAACGTAAGTAAAAAATTTTACTTAAAATCTCATTAAAAAAAAATGTGAGATGGCTAGAGATATAGTCTATACTCCGATCACCGATGAGACAGTAAAGTTCGGGGTCACGTGATTTGGAGCGCTGCTTCCCTATTGGCTGTTAGAATTTCGTTCAATTCTCAGACGATGTTTGAGTTTGAACCAAAGTTTAATGAAAAAATAGTTCAAATCCGTATCAAGAGTGCGATTAAGGAATAAACTATAATTCTATAATATTGTTTAATCTTTATTTACCAGAAAACATTATTAAAACATTATTTTTCTTGGAGTTTCAGTTAAAAAAAAATTAGGAGACATAATCACGATCACCGAATAATCAGTAAAGCTCGTGGTCACGTGACCTGGAGCGCTGCTTCCTTATTGGCTGTTTTTCGTTCAATTCTTACTTGACATTTGAGTTTGGACCAAAGTTTAATCAAATTTTTATCAAGATTGTGATAATGGAATAAACTATAATTCTATAATATTGTTTAAATTTTTTGTACCAAAAAACATAATTTTAATAAAATATCAGTTAAATGCAAAATTGTGAGAGATGGTTAGAAATATAGATTATTCTCCGACCACCAAAGAATCGGTAAAGCTCGTGGTCACGTGACTTGGAGCGCTGCTTTCCTATTGGCTGTTAAAAATTTGTTAAATTCTCACTTGACATTTGGGTTTGAACCAAAGTTTTTAATAACAAAAATAGTTCAAATTCCTAAATTTGAAAAAAAGATAGTGTGCCGAAATATTCTTTTATATCAACCATAGATTTTAGAATTTGTGCAGAAACGTAACTTCAAAATTTCTCGAGCCGCCACTGGCTGATAATTTTTTGTTATTAACTTATTATTACCAAAGTTCTAACACTCTAAATATACAGGGTGAATGTAAAGTATGGAACCAAGCGGTTTTATTTTTAATCATTTGCCTCCAGAAAATAATAATTAATATAAATTAAAGTAATATAAAATATGTGATCGTATTTTCAGAACGAAATTTTGTTTTGTTTTTGAGTTATGCTATTTTTTTTGTCAAAATTGCTATTTATGTGAAAATTGTTTTTTGAAAAAATTAAATATAAAGCAGATAGTTGTAATCTTTAGAGTATAGCTTATATGAGAAAAATGATTTTATAGTGGGTTGCCATTTAATTTTTTTTTTTTGTAGAACTCAAAAACAAAAGGATATTTCGAAAAATTTTATTCTTTTTAAAACATCACATTTTTATAGTACTTTATCACTGATTAATTAGTTTTTTCAAAAAATAAATAGTTTAAGCAAAAAACGTTTGGTTCCATACTTTTTAATCACCTGGTATATAATAACTATAATATTGTTTAACTCTGTTTAATAAAGTAATAAAAGTACGATCCCGATTTGTCTTTTTGATAATCCCATTTTTCACATTCTTTTTCAAGTTTTGCCTTTTTTTTATTAGAACAACCTGGTATAAGAATCTTATAAAATTTTTAAAAATAACTGAAGTGTCTAAAAAACGTACAGTGGCGGACACGAAATTTTGGACAAGTTAATATCAGTTCAAAAATTGTCAATGTAAGCCACGCTTTACTGTCATTATGATTGACGTTTGAAACGAAAATTTGAAAGTTTTAATTCAAGTCCAATAAATTATTTTGAATTGTTATCATTTTTCTCTAGCTGTCAGAATAAAAATTACAAAAACCGGAAGTGAGGTTAGTTGTCTAAGGCCCGTTTTACATTTTTATGTCAGTCGAATGACAAATTGTCCAAAATTTCGTGTCCGCAATTGTATTTTTCAATTTTAACAAAGCTTAATTTCCCAATCTTCATTTATGTAAGATAACTGGTGCGTGCTGCAGCATTTAATGCATTTTTTTCAATTTCAAGCATGTGTGAAAGTCTCTGATGTGGTCTAATGCATGTTTTTTGCTACAAATAACAAATTACAAACCGCAAACACTTAATTAGAGCTACTTTAAAGTCGCAAAAACGCAAAGTATAATAAATTGGACACAGTTTTAGTGGTTTTGTGAACATTTGGAACTGCAGTGTTTTTTTTTTTCTTTTACTTTAGATTGATTGTAGCTTGTGTGTCGACATAAGTAATACATGTAGACATTGCATCAATTAATCCAACGTGACATTTTACACAAACGACACCAAATGTCAACTCTAAAACCTTTTTCATTTATTTTTACTTCTTAAAAGTCGCGACATTTTCTACGTTTTTTGTCACAAAATCAATCAACAAATAATAAAAAAAACTCTTAGCACGTGGAAAATCAGTAATAATGACAAATCCGCTCCGCTTTCACGATTCTGACCAACCTTCAAATATTTTCTTTGTTGACTCTTCGATAAAGAAGATAAACAGTCCCTTGGGGGAAAAAACCGCAGTTTTGGTTAAATTTTCATGATAATTGTAACCTCGTGCAATGTAAATGGGCAAACAGCCTTGATTTTGGCCAAAAACGAAGAAGCAAGGTTTGGGTGAGTAATTAAAGAAGAATCAAGTTTTAATAATTTTATTACAATGGTCGAAAGTTTTATTCTTCAACTTCATATAGTGGGTTTTCGTGCTGGTTGCTAGTACTAGTACTAGGGGCCTCATCGTCGTTTTTGGCCTCCTCGTATAGTGGGTTTTCGTGTTGGGTGCTAGTGCTAGGGCTTTGCCCATACATGGGGTTGTCGAAAGATTTGGCAATATCGAGGATTGAGCCCGTTTCTGATTGGCCATCGATGATCAAATTTTCGTCAATGTTGTCAAAACGGGCAAAAAATGGAACGGTGAAAATCGAACCACGTTTGTGAAACCTACAAAAAAGACTCAAGTTTTTACCCAACTTATCACAGTTGGTATACCTGTTTATGATGACCATGACCGCATTATTGTCACTTTGGAGGTACAACAAAATCGCGAAAAACACCCCAACTGTTAAAAAGCTCCCTATCACTATAGAAACAGTAGGGGAACCCCCAGCCTCCATGTAAAACTCTCCCGATTTGAGGATTTGCAACTTCCCCGCGTTGTGATTTTTCAAGTAGTTGAAGAAAGTTTCAGCTTCTTGGTGACTCCTCCCCGTGAATTCCCTTTCAGTGAAGACAATTTGCACCACTTCGTTCCCTAAATAATCCTTGACACGACTAGCCCAAGTCTCCACCTCAAACTCCCTCAATTTTTTCCTCACTTGATTCAAATCCGGGCCACTTCCGGGCTCATAAGTGACATAAGCGCCACAGATAGCTTCACAGAATTCTTCCGGTTCGATTGGTTCCCGACACCGGACGCTATTTTGAGTTTTTTTGAGTGGGCAAGGGACGAATTGTTTGTGACACAAACAGCCATAAGGGTCGTCGCATTTTGAGTTGGCAATGAGGAGGTTGAAGGGTCCTAAAGGGTTGTAGAAGATGTCGTGGCCGGGTTTGGTTTCGATGAAGTTTTTGAGGGAACTGCTGTCGATTATTTCGTTTGAGAATTTGAGGGAATTTATCTGAATTGTTGTTCCGAAGTCCTCCAAAACTCGGGAGTGGTTGATGTTGGGGAAAATGACGTCGTCTTGGATGCAAGGAATGCGTTGTTTGTGGGGTATGGCGATGTTGTTTTCGGGGTTGGTCCAGCTTTCAGAGTCGTACCATTCGTGGTAGTTGATGGGTTTTAGTTTTATACCTAAAAAAAATTCCCAACAAGACAGTGTTAAAAATATTTTTCAACAAAAGCAAAAATAAGAGTTTTGTCAATTACCAATAAATTAAAAACCAATTTTCAATATTGAAAAAGCGAAAGAAAAAACATACCGGGTGAATAAAAAGTATGGAATCAAGCATCTTTTGTATAAACTAACTATACTTTACGAAAAAAAATGTGTACTATAAAAATGTGATCGTTACTCAAGAATAAAATTTTTAGAATTTTTTTTGCTGGTTTCTGAGTTTTGCAAAAAAATTATAAGGCAACCCACCATCACAATTTTTTTAATTAAAAATAATGATCTAAAAATGATCTCTTATTAAATAAAATTGTTATTTAACCACCAGTTGCGATTAAAAAACACTGAAAACAACGGTATTTCGAAAAAAAATTATTGTTGAAAAACGATCAAACTCAGTATTAAAGAGAACTAAATTTGTACTAATATACAGGGTGATCTACATCAAAATTTTAATTTTTGGTTGTAAAAATTGTCAATATCATCAAAAACAAGTCAAAATTCTAGAGAATTTAAGCTTTTCACTCCTTTCTCGGCAAAATAAACAATATTTGAATAAAACTAACTTATTTTGACATTATTTGACACAATTTTGACCATGTATTGTTTAAAAATTCTTGTAGATTTCGATTCTGGATGATTTGTTGTAAGAGAAGTAAACACTTTTTTGTAACATACTTTTAAAATAAACACAAAAAATGAGGAGAGATAAAATTAAATTTCGCAAATGTACAGAGTGTTTAATATCTTTTCTTTGGTTTTTGAGGTTTGCAAAAAAAAATATAAGGCAACCCACCATGACAATTTTTTTTTAATTAAAGACTATGATTTAAAAATGACTTCTAATTAAATAATATTGTTATTTAACCAGTAGTTATGATAAAAAAATTGAATAGTAAAAAGAATTTCTAAAAAATTTATTCTTGAAAAACGATCAAACTCAGTTTTACAGAGAACTAAATTTGTACTAATATATAAGGTGTTCTACATCAAAATTTAAATTTTTGGATGAAAATCCAAAAAAAAAATGCTAATACCATCAGAAACAAGTCGGAATCAAATCATTTTAGAGAATTTAAATTTTTACTCCTTTCTGGGCAAAATAATATGAATGAAACTGACTTATATTGACTTTGTTTGAAACAATTTTGACCATGTTTCGTTTAAAAATTCTTGTAGATTTGGATCCTTGATGATTTGTTGTAAGAGAAATAAACACTTTTTCTTGTATTATACTTTTAAAATAACACGAAGAATGAGGAGAGATAAAATTAAATTTTGCAAATGTAATGCTTAATTTTTTTTTTTGATTTTTGAGTTTTGCAAAAAAAAATAAAAGGCAACCCACCATGACAATTTTTTTAATTAAAGACTATGATCTAAAAATGACCTCTAGGTGATTAAACAAAATTGTTATTTAACCAATAGTTGCGAGTAAAAAAATTGAAAACTAAAAGAAATTTCGAAAAAATTTATTCTAGAAAAACGATCAAATTCAGTATTAAAGAGAACTAAATTTGTACTAATGTACAGGGTCTTCTACATCAAAATTTTAACTTTTGGATATAAATTTTAAAAAATTTCTAATATCATAAAAAACATTCTAGAGTATTTGAACTTTTCACTCTTTTCTAGGCAAAATAAACAATATTTGAATGAAGTTGACTTATTTTCACTTTGTTTGGCACAATTTTGACCATGTTTTGTTTAAAAATTTTTGTAGATTTGGATCCTGTGTTGTAAGAAAAGAAAACACATTTTCTTGTAATATATTTTTAAAATAAACACAAAAAATGAGGATGAGATAAAATCAAATTTTATAAAAAAAAATATTTTTCGAGAGCTTAAAGTATAAACATTAGTGTTTTTTTTTGTAAATTTTTTGGAAATATGTAAAAATCACTATTCAGTTTTAAATGTAGGGCCGATTTGCTCTAAAAACTTTTCAGAATCGCCCACCAGAGAGCACAGTTTTTACTTGAAACGTAAATAAATCAATTAATTTTGCATCGATTAAAAAAATAAAAAAAAAGAATGAAAATTTGTGCTAATCAAAAGTACAAACTTTTTCCCGAGAGAAATACTGTACAACAAAAAACAGATGATTTTTTAGAACAATTAGAAACTTGTATGTTACTCGGTGATTGAGAGCACTTTTTATGCTTGCATTGTAAAAATTTCAAAGAAATAAAACGGTTGTCTTGTACAATGTTTTACTTTGTGTCAATATTTAATCCCTGCTTGATTATTTATTTGCACATTCTAAAAATATAAGTCTAAATAAAGTTTACGTCAGTGAATATTCCATTTAAATAACACAAGTAGTAAAGTGGATAAACAGACAAATCGTATAATCTGGGTCAACAACTTATAAATAATATAGATATCTACAACACCGGAACGTAAAGATAATCAAGCTAGACAAAAAAAATGATAACAAAAATTTCATAATTGAAACCTAAATCGATCAAACTCACACTTCTTATTATCCTTGAATTCAATCGCGCCCTCTTCGAACAAGTCCACCTCCCCATCCTCCGGTAAGACAATTTCCGGGGTGGTCAATTCGCGTACATACACCGGAGCCGTGTTAACCGCCGCAAAATGCACCCCTTTGCACCCTACCGCCAATTTTCCACCCTCCCAATTCTCCGGACTCGATATATCACTTACAAAACGCCAAATGCGTTCTTTTCCGGCGCAAAAATCGAGAAAAACGAACAAGAAAACGACTTCCAGACGCATTGTTTCGGACTGCATCTGCTCGTTCTCAACGCCTCTGCAATTTGATACAGGGGGTGTTGAAATTTTTTTCAATGAGAGTGAAACGGAAGCGAGTGCAGTGACATGGTTAAAATTATTATTGCAAGGTGACTTGGGCGATTTTTCTAAACGACTCCAGAGTAGGTAATTGCAAAAGAGGTAATTGTCAATGTTAAAATATTCTACCAGGTGCATCAAATTTTATCTTCCAAACACTACCATTTAATTGGAGACATTAATTTACACAAATTTTATATCATTTTGTTCGTCTCAGTGAGACATATCAAATGCACTAAAAAGAAATTTAAAAAGTCCACACACAAAATAATTTTTTTCTAATTTAAATGAATTTAAAATACTTTAACTTTAAAAAATCATTACTCAATAACTATTAGGCCGATTTCCTTCAAATACGGACCCTTCTAAAGGGATGGCCTTGCCCTTTAGAATGATATTGGCGAACTTTTCTTCGAACAGTGTTCGAAAAAGTTCGAAGTAAATCGAAATAATCTAAGAAAAACCCTACGAGTAATTTTTTTTTTCATCATTACCATCGTGTAGAGCATCTCTTTATTAGTTGTAATCCAAATTTTCAAAAAAATATACCGAGTAGTTTGCAAGATATGATTTTTTGAAGTTATGGTTGCATTGCCCATATAGAAGAAATGCATGTTAATCTTACTTAAAATTGCATTTTTATAAAAGTATTTGTTTTAAGACTCTTTTTTTGCTTAAAAATGGTCAATTGCACCTTCTTTGTTCTAATTAGAATAAACAAAAACTGTTTGTTTACTTAAAACAAATAAATAGATAAATCCAAAAAAAATGCTAATAACATCAAAAACAAGGTCAAAATTCTAGAGAATTTAAACTTTTCACTCCTTTCTCGGCAAAATAAACAATATTTGAATAAAACTAACTTATTTTGACATTATTTGACACAATTTTGACCATGTATTGTTTAAAAATTCTTGTAGATTTCGATTCTGGATGATTTGTTGTAAGAGAAGTAAACACTTTTTTGTAATATACTTTTAAAATTAACACAAAAAATGAGCAGAGATAAAATTAAACTGTGCAAATGTACAGAGTGTTAAATATCTTTTTTTTGGTTTTTGAGTTTTGTAAAAAAAAATTATAAGGCTACCCACCATGACAATTTTTTTTAATTAAAGACTATGATCTAAAAATGACTTCTAATTAAATAAAATTGTTATTTAACCAGTAGTTACGATAAAAAAAAATTAAAAGTAAAAAGAATTTCGAAAAAAAAATTTTTAAAAAACAATCAAACTCAGTTTTAAGGAGAACTAAATTTGTACTAATATATAGTGTGTTCTACATCAAAATTTTAATTTTTGGATGTAAAATAAAAAAAAATGCTAATATCATCCGAAACAAGTCGGAATCAAATCATTCTAGAGAATTTAAATTTTTACTCCTTTCTAGGCAAAATAATTTGAATAAAACTGATTTATGTTGCCTTTGACACAATTTTGTCCATGTTTTGTTTAAAAATTCTTGTAGATTTGGATCCTGGATGATTTGTTGTAAGAGAAGTAAACACTTTTTCTTGTATTATACTTTTAAAATAAACACAAAAAACGTGGAGAGATAAAATTAAATTTTGTTTAATATTTTCTTTTTGGTTTTTGAGTTTTGCAAAACAATTATAAGGCAACCCACCATAACAATTTTTTTAATTAAAGACTATGATCTAAAAATGACCTCTAATTAAATAAAATTGTTATTTAACCAATAGTTGCGAGTAAAAAAATTGGAAACTAAAAGGAATTTCGAAAAAAATTATTCTAGAAAAACTCCGAGAGTAGGTAATTGCAAAAGTTATATTTAAGGCTACTGATTTAAACTTCTAGATCCTTTTTGCTCTATGATCAGTGATCATTTTTAATTTTTAGAACAAAAAAACTCTTTATTACGCAGGTACTCTTTGTTTGTTTTAAGTAAGGAAAATAAGGTGCAATTGACCATTTTTAAGCAAAAGAAGAGTGTTAAAACAAATACTTTTATAAAAATGCAATTTTAAGTAAGATCAACATGCATTTCTCCTATAAGACGCAGTACCTGAATAGCAAACCTAAACTTCAAAAAATCATATCTTAAAAACTACTCGGTATATTTTTTTGAAAATTTGTATTACAACTAATAAAGAGATGCTCTATACGATGGTAATGATAAAAAAAAATACTCGTTGGGTTTTTCTTAGACTACTTCGATTTACTTCGAACTTCTTCGAACACTGTTCGATGAAAAGTTTGCCAATATTCAATTTCAAATTGCATATCATTCTAAAGGGCAAGTCCATTCCTCTAGAATGGTCTTTATTTGAAAGAAATCCGCCTAATAGTTATTGAGTAATGATTTTTTAAAGTTAAAGTATTTTAAATTCATTTAAATTAGAAAAAAATTATTTAGTTCAAAGTGTGTGGACTTTTTGAATTTTTTTTAGTGCATTTGATTTGTCTCACTAAGACGAACAAAATGATATAAAATTTGTCAAGTTGTCACGACATGACTTTTTTTTGTCGCCCTGTGTTAGTGTAAAATATACATTTCACAATTTTATTCGATTAGAAAGAGGTGTTGTGGAGGGGTGACTTGAGTCACCCGGTACGTAATTATGGACCAAATTACTTAACAACCAGATGGTTTTTAACTGAAATGAACGCTGTTGCACTTCAGTTTATTTTCAGAAAAGCCGAAATTTAATCCGAAAATGAGCAGATGCAACTTATTAAATGCATTCTTGCATGAGTCTTCAGACACACTAATTGAAGAATTAATTTGAAACATGCATTCGAATCAAATTAATTTTTTAAAACAATAAATTATGTTTTAACTGAAATTGGGTCTCTTAGATCCTTTCTTTACTTTCTATCCTTTTACTTTTATTGTATAATATTTTTCTAAAATAGGAGGTAATTAATTTTGCTTGTTACTTAATTGTTATTCTTTGTGGTACTTATATGTTTCTAGAATAATAATTTTCAATTTTTTATTCGCAAACGTCAAAAAAGTGACCACTTTTATTACTAAATGTCACAAGTAAAAGTTTTGCTTTTCAGTAGAGCCAAAAATTCTATTTTTGCGCCTAAGCGTTTTTACTTTTATCATGACATTTTGGCTGCTTYAGCAATTTTTGCACTACTAACTGCACTAGTTGAATTAATAAACACAAATTTCGATACTGACGCGTGTTGTTTGTTGATAAGCGTTGTTATGATTTAATTACTTGCAAAGCTTCCTGATTATTTTGTTCATTTATTGCCGATTATGGTGTTGTTCTTTACTTTCGATCTATTTGGTGTAAAAGTGAGTTTATGTGGCTCACTACGTTCGGCATAAACTATTACTTTTACTTTTTATGTGTTTTTATTTTATTTATCTGTTATAAGTTTATTTTTTTCTTTTATGTTCTCCCTTCTTTTACCTAATGAAAACTGGTATTAGTGTCTAACACTAGCTCTGAAGTAGATTTCATTTTTAGAAAAATTTGATGATTAATGACAATAGGTCATAAATTTTGTTTTAACTGAACACTGGTCATAAAACAGTAAACTCGYTTCTTGTAGAGATACATAAAACCATGCCCTGCAGGCATTTATACAGCCTACTAGATTTTACCTTTATTTTTTATTGTTTGTAATATATATTTTTTTTTTTGATAAGTGTGTGGTTCCCCTTATATTAAGAGCTTAAGAGATTAAGTATTATCAACTTATCAGCAAATTTGAGTGGAGTATTGATTATTAATCATCTGTCTGGTCTATTTGACGATATCTCAAGTGTTGTTGAGATACSTAGAAAAAATATTTTTYCCATTTTGATGTAGAGTGACTAGTAATTTTTGAATTGAGTAATTGAAAAACTAGATATAAATTCCTCTCCATCAAGCAGGCGTTGGAATGAACAAGTGAAAGGGGATGCGTAGGTAGACTCCGATGCATACCAACAAACAAGTGAAGAGGTTTACCATTTCCATAAATTCCTCCTCAAATGTCAAACCTTTTAACTGTGCCAATTGTCAACTTTGCGCAAGAGGAAGCAAAAGAGATGCTTTCACTATTCATTGTTTTTGGATATAATGCTAATAATAGGAAGCTGTGTAAATTGAACCGATTGTTTCCGAAAACAATCCACCCACGTGTTGATACATATTTTCAGATTGAAGTGAATGGCCGATGTGGCACCCAAGTGTGTCGTCTGCCTTTCTAGTTTTATGTTCTACGTTCACTGCTATTGTATTGCGGTTGATTATGTATGAGGTAAAATCGATATTTGGATTGAGAGCGGCGGTATTGGTCCATAATTTTTTTCCCAGGTTGGGTAACAAGATTGTGGTTGAGGTTGTATGACTTGAAGAGTGTCCAAAAATACAATTTTTTTAATTTCGTGTAAATTCGTAATAAATACGACATACAAAGCAACAAAATGAGCAATAAATTATTTGTTATGTGTCGTAGATGTGGTGTTGCATGACTGATAGCTTGTGTTACAGAATAACATTTGAATTTCAAAACTAGTGACCTTAGCAGTGGCATTTTGAAATTTTATTACTAGGTGGTAATGTTTTATTCCAGAGGAATTAATAAAGAAGCATTTTTGAGGCACAGTTTTAACAATAAAGTGGAATTTTGCACAAAAATAATTACTCTTGCTTGTAATTTTATTTTACTTGAAGATAAATGAAACAATTTTTTAAATTAGTAAAAAGGCAGAAATGTAATTTACACAAAGAATGAAAATTTACTTTTATTATCCGTAATTTTCTCCTACACATTTTATAAATTTTGTATTTCTGCTTGTAATTTTACTTTGAATATACAGGGTGCACCAGAATTCGCGCCCTAGAGAAAAATGCCATGTAAAGTAAGATACAAGGAATATGGAAAAAATGTTAAAAAAATTCTATCTACAAAAATTTCGAAGTTATGAGAGTTTAGATTTATCACATTGACTATTTATTTCTGTTGGGAAAATAATTTTCCAAGTTTTTTTTGGCTTCAGGCTATTAGAAGAGGAAACAAGGAAGCTGTATCCTAAATTGTAACTCTGTTCAATGTTATTTGTGGCTTTTATTGGCAAAATGTTTGAATATTTACTAAATAATTAAAAAAAAATATCCACCAGATTATCAGATATAAAAAAATGTCAAATGTCAAAAAATAAATGCCAAAATTTTTTAACATTTTTTCTATGTTTTCTACTTTTTCTCTGAGGCATGAGTTCTGACACACCCTGTATAATTTCTTAATAGTTTTAAATGTAATTTTAATTACAATCACTCTCAATGTAGTTTTATTTTAGAGATAAAAAATATAAAACAATTTTCCGAATTAGTAAAAAAGGCAGAAATGTAATTTACACAAAATTGCGTTTAATGAAAATTTACATTTGTAGCAAAAACAATTTTACTTTTGGTATCTGTAATTTTCTCCTGCACTTTTTATACTTCTATTATGTATTTCTGCTTGTAGTTTTAAAAATGGATACGAGTATATATTTTTTTGTGAGTTTTAAATGTAATTTCACTTTCCATGTAAATCTACATTTACATTATTGATTTACTTTTATTACTTATTTACACAATTAATGTAAGATTTTTAGGCTAGAATAATAGCTAGATTTTTTCAGTTTTTTAATGTGCTTAATTTAATTTAATTAGAAACTACTTACTTTTTATTAAAAGTTTCAAATGTAATTTTTAAATGTTAAATGTTTTAAATGTTTTTAAATGTAGTTGTACACAATTATGTAATAAAGTTTTTGATTTAGAGTTCCCCTTTTCTGCTAAAGTTTTAACCATAGTTTTTAAATTGAATAAAATTTACGTAAACCGTACAAATTACTGATCTAAGATTACACAGGATTTTTCGAAAATAAATCAGTTTTTACACAATATCCAATCACGTTTTGAAACATCTAAACCCCAATTGACACAGAAATCCAGCGACTCAAATTCTTACAAATTAGAAATTAGAAATACCATTTTCACACATCTCTAATTAAGTATCACGCTTCCGTACAAGCATTAACAATTTTTTTCCTGCATTTTTTACAGATGTTAGCGACGGCTTGGACACACGTCACCAGTTGATGTTATGCAGATTTTTAATTGAAGCCAATCATAGAACAAGGTAAAACCATTTTACTATGATAGAGATGTGCGCCAGTCGCCGATAAACGTCAAGGTCGGCGATTTAAACGTGTCATTTGACAGAAATCGATTTCGGGGAACGAATCGATGACACGCTGGGGATTTATTTGCTTGAAACAGTGTGATAATAAAATGATTTTTTAATCAAACATTGCAAAACCTGATGCGAGATTATCAAATAATAGTTATTTGTATTGGTGAAGTAGACACTTTCCTCCAGTGTAATACACACAATTTTTTCTACGATCCAGCAAGAGAAACTTCAAAACTAACAATTTTCCTTTTTTTTTCTCTTTCTCTCTATTTTAGTGTTTTATATGCAGAAACACGTGTAAAGCAATCTAAAAACACTGTCTGGAGGTTTGGCATTTTTCCCAAATTCTCTTGATGGAAATTGAAAACAGATTAGTGACTAATTTGAATAATGAATGGTGTGGAAACGTGTTTGTGGGCCATCTTTTCCAATTCAATTTCTATTAAACTTCTCCATAAACTTTAATCAAAATTTTAAATGAGCAAAAATCGACATGAAAATTCCTGTGTTGCTTCTCGTTTGCTATAATAATAATTTAACGGTCGAGAACCTCTCACCTCAAACGTCTTCGTTCATCCTGTCCCTCTTTAGCAAACAATCATCGATATAATACGAATTAAATTCGCTCTATTAAATAACAATCTAATAAGAAGAAGCTTTTATTTCATCCAAAGAGACCATTGACCGAACTCGGATTAGTTTCGCGTCCGCTGTTCAATTATGGTTCGATACATAATAAAAGAAGGCTAAAAAATCGGTTATGTGTTGAATAACACGCTTCATAGAGCGCCAACGACGAAAAAAGGGGATCTAACGCAGTGCTAATGATGCACTTACACGACAGGATGCTACCGGCGGMCATTAGGCATTTCCGTGCAAGGGCGTGTGAACGGGCCCTAAGCACATTCGCAAAGGAAAGCACTCGTTTTTGTCGGATTTTCTGACAACCTCTAAGAAACAAACAATTTTTGTTTCAAGAAAGACAAATAACAGTACTCGGAATTTGTTCATTCATAATTTCCACCTTTTTTTAAATTTTTGATCAACAAAAAATTTTACTCAGAAAAATGATGAGTAACGTAAAAATGTACGTAAACGGCATTAAAAAATGGTTTAAACTCGCATGGTTGTGTGTCAACAACAAATAACATATTGACATCGACCCATCAAGGTCGAAAAATATGATAACAAGTCAAGAAAACAAGTTAGAAAATGCTTGTGGACAATTTTTTGAGCACTCATTTTTGAAGTGGAACAACAATTTATGTCATCGAATTTGTTGTAAATATTAGAGAATTATAGAGATTTATGAGAAATTTTTGGGATTTTGGAGGACTTTATATAAAGTTAAGATTTATGTTATTTTGTTTATTGTTTTTTTTTTAATATTTTTAATAGTTTCTAAACGAAAGACAAGAAGGGATGATTTTTTGAATGTACGAGTATGTGTGTATATAAAAAATTTCTGTGTTTATACAACATTTCTAAAGATTTTAACAATTTA